TCACTGCAGGCTGTGGAGGGTTCTCACTGCAGGCTGGGGGGAGCTCACTGCAGGCTGTGTAAGGGAGCTCACTGCAGGCTGTGGAGGGAGCTCACTGCAGGCTGTGGAGGGGAGCTCACTGTAGGCTGTGGAGGGTTCTCACTGCAGGCTGTGTAAGGGAGCTCACTGCAGGCTGTTGGGGAGCTCACTGCAGGCTGTGTAAGGGAGCTCACTGAAGGCTGTGTGGGGAGCTCACTGCAGGCCGTGGAGGGGAGCTCACTGCAGGCCGTGGAGGGTTCTCACTGAAGGCTGTGGAGGGTTCTCACTGCAGGCTGTGGAGGGACTCATTGCAGGCTGTGAAGGGAGCTCACTGCAGGCTGTGGGGGGAGCTCACTTCAGGCTTGGGAGGGTTCTCACTGCAGGCTGTGAAGGGAGCTCACTGCAGGCTGTGGAGGGTTCTTACTGCAGGCTGTGGAGGGACTCACTGCAGGCTGTGGGGGGAGCTCACTGCAGGCTGTGGAGGGTTCTCACTACAGGCTGGGGGGTTCTCACTGAAGGCTGTGGGAAGAGCTCACTGCAGGCTGTGTAAGGGAGCTCACTGAAGGCTGTGGAGGGTTCTCACTGAAGGCTGTGTAAGGGAGCTCACTGCAGGCTGTGGAGGGACTCACTGCAGGCTGTGGGGGGAGCTCACTGCAGGCTGTGGAGGGTTCTCACTGCAGGCTGGGGGGTTCTCACTGAAGGCTGTGGGGGGAGCTCACTGCAGGCTGTGGGGGGAGCTCACTGCAGGCTGTGGAGGTGAGCTCACTGCAGGCTGTGGGGGGGGGAGCTCACTGCAGGTTGTGTAAGGGAGCTCACTGCAGGCTATGGAGGGTTCTCACTGCAGGCTGTGGAGGGTTCTCACTGCAGGCTGTGGGGGGAGCTCGCTGCAGGCTGTGTAAGGGAGCTCACTGCAGGCTGTGTAAGGGAGCTCACTGCAGGCTGTGGAGGGTTCTCACTGTAGGCTGTGGAGGGAGCTCACTGCAGGCTGTGTAAGGGAGCTCACTGCAGGCTGTGTAAGGGAGCTCACTGCAGGCTGTGGAGGGTTCTCACTGTAGGCTGTGGAGGGAGCTCACTGCAGGCTGTGGGGGGTAGCTCACTGCAGGCTGTGGAGGGTTCTCACTGCAGGCTGTGGAGGGAGCTCACTGTAGGCTGTGGGGGGAGCTCACTTCAGGCTGTGGAGGGGAGCTCACTTCAGGCTGTGGAGGGTTCTCACTGCAGGCTGTGGGGGGAGCTCACTGCAGGCTGTTGGGGAGCTCACTGCAGGCTGTGGAGGGAGCTCATTGAAAGCTGTGGAGGGTTCTCACTGTAGGCTGTGGAGGGAGCTCATTGAAGGCTGTGTAAGGGAGCTCACTGCAGGCTGTGTAAGGGAGCTCACTGCAGGTTGTGTAAGGGAGCTCACTGCAGGCTGTGGAGGGTTCTCACTGTAGGCTGTGGAGGGAGCTCACTGCAGGCTGTGGGGGGTAGCTCACTGCAGGCTGTGGAGGGTTCTCACTGCAGGCTGTGGGGGGAGCTCACTGTAGGCTGTGGGGGTGAACTCACTGCAGGCTTTGGAGGGGAGCTCACTGCAGGCTTTGGAGGGGAGCTCACTGCAGGCTATGGGGGGAGCTCACTGCAGGCTGTGGGTGAACTCACTGCAGGCTGTGGGGGGGGGAGCTCACTGCCTGGCAGGCCACATTCGGCAAATGAGCCTCCATCTATCAAGGCCAGCAAAAGCGCCCAAATGATTGACTGGCATATGTGTCTCACCTGGCCTTAGATGAGCTGTCTTCCCAATACCCCACCTAGTGTTTAAAGCCAGAATTTCACTCTTCTTTAGTTTTGACCCAGGAGGTCTTCCCTCATGTGGCCAGATGCCACACAGAGGTATGGCATTACCACACAGAGGGATCTCTTATTTCGAGAAATGCTGGAGTCCCAGCCTCCTGCCTCTAAGGCCTCCCCAGTACAGCTTTCTGGACTGCAATCTCATGTGTCCCAGCTTCCCCAAATGCCAGTCAATTGTTTCTAAAGTCTGTCCGGTCATTACTTTTTCCTCTGGAAAATGGCCCATCACTTCCCTGAATACTCATTGTCATCCTGTGTCCTCTTCCACTGTCATGCCAAGCCACCCAAGTTTTACCAAAGTGTGTTTCGGGGCCAACAGCTTCTACTGAGCAACCCACCACCCCTCCTGGCTCCAGCCCACAGCCTTTCTGGCTCATGACCAGCGGTCTTCTACCTCTCCTGGCTGCTTCCAGGCTCACCCTCCGCCATCCTACCTCGGGTGTGAAGTTCAGAGTCACAAACTCAAGACGGCTAAATTGAAAGTCTTTATTTTTTTATAACCTCACTTTAATTCCTGGCCCTGAGCCTTAATCCTCTCTCATGTCAAAGTCTGATCTTGTCACTCAGATGAAGCCAGACCAGTGCAGTGATCTTCCAGATTGCTCAAAATTAAAGAGCCACGCCCCTCATTCCGTGCCCCTATAATGGAAAGAACATTGCACTGTGGGGGTCAAAAGAAAACGGAATTACTGGATCCAGCAAACAAGAGTATATGAAAGTTCAATTTTATTTTCACAAAGTCAGAAACCTCTCTTCTAGTCTAAGTATATCTGATGTAATTTCTAGGACATTCTAATACATTAAAAATCATTTATTGTTTGTCGGGCATTCAATTCTAGCTGGGTCTTACCTGGCGACCTGGGCAAGTGAGGGATAGGGTGTGATAGCGTTTACTTCCAGGCTTTGCGCCTAGGACTGCATTTAGCTACCCAGTCCCCCACTCGTCCTTTCTCCAGCAAGACACCCAAGCCAAGGCAGCTTTTGTTTCCAGGCTCCTTGTGGAATAACAGGGCGGGCGGCGTTTGACACAGTTCTGACCAATGAGACGTAAATGGGGATCACTATTTTCAGGAATGCTTTTCTTTTCCCCACACGTAAGGAAAGACGCAGACATGCCACCCCACGGTCTCCTTTTCCCCACACGTAAGGAAAGACGCAGACATGCCACCCCATGGTGGCATGTCCTTCCTGCTCTTCCTTAAAGTAGCAGCCAGCAGATGTCTGGGTTTGTGGCAGCCTGGTAGCACTCAGCAGGGTGCTAACAACAAGAGAATCCCAGAGAAGTCAGCATTGATGCCTGCAGCCAGGCCACTCACCCAGACCTGGCTCCACCTCAGGACTTCCGATTCTGGGAGACCAGACAGACCCATCCCACTGTCACTCAAATCTGTATGCCAATAGGTCAGAAGTTCTAAGCATGTCTAAAGATGCCTCCTTTTAAAGAGACGACATAAAGTGATTGACAGGAAACTATCTTTCATCTTTCATCACGTAATTCTTCTTTTGCTCTAACAGTGACCACCACATATCTGATCTACATAAGCACCTGAATCTCTCTCTCTCTCTCTCTCTCTCTCTCTCTCTCTCTCTCTCTCTCTCTCTCTCTCTCTCTCTCTCTCTCTCTCTCTTTTTTCTTTGAGACAGGGTCTCTCTACACAGCTCTGACTAGCCTGGAACTCACAACTCACTCTGTAGACCACGCTGGCCTCTAACTCACAGAGATCCACCTGCCTCTTCCTCCTGAGTGCTGGAACTAAAGGCCTGCACCACCAACGCCTGGCAGCACGTGTATTTCTTTCTTTTTTTTTTTTTTTTTGGTTTTTATGAGACAGGGTTTCTCTGTATTGTTTTGGAGGCTTTCGGTCCAGCCTGGCCTCGAACTCACAGAGATCCTCCTGCCTCTGCCTCCCGAGTGCTGGGATTAAAGGCGTGCGCCACCACCGCCTGGCTAGCACGTGTATTTCTTAAATAAGCATGTTCAGTCATTGTTTATTTTTATGTATCTACTTAGTCGTTGTCTGTGTCCTTTCCCAAGGGCACTGAATCTGTTTGATCTAGAACAGTAGGTTGGGCGAGCAGAAACTATGGCGATTGCTCAGTTCTTGGGCTCAGTCGTTAGATGGCTTGTGATGCAACCATGAAGACCGACGTTCAGATCCCTGGAACCCACATGCATGGCAAGTGAGAGTAGCACCAGCCTTTAGCTCTGGAGCACACGGGCTGGCGGTGTCTGCGGCTCTGTGCTTGGCTTAGATATGTTGCCTCAAAGAAGAAGGCTCAGAAACAATCATGGGCGACTCCTGACATCAACCTCAGGCACACACATGCATTTGTGCCTACACACACGTGCCCACACATGTAAAAAACACATACACATATGTACAGCACACACACAAGAAACTGGAAAAGGAGGAAACAGTTCATCATAGGAAACCCAGTTGGGATCTGCTGAGTAAATACATGAGAGAATCACCTGCCTCTTTTCCCTGCGTGGGAGCCATGAATTTTCACGAGGGGGTCCCCACTGGGTTTTACCTGTTGAGACAGGCTGGTGCTGGCTGACCTCTGATGAGTATTCCTCCTTCAGCTCTCCAAGTGCAGAACTAGGAAGTGAATTCCTATTTATCTATTGTTAATTGAATTTACAAACCATTAATTTGATCTTATCTATAAATGATTATGTATATTATATATTTAGTATATTTCAGTAGTTTTTAAAACATTAAATTCAGAAGCCTGATTGACTGAAGTTGGTCAAATTCCAATAATAGATCATGAAACTACCTAATAGGGAAATTAAGTTTTTCTAATATTCAGTAGCAATTTTATTTTGCCTGGTTTATTGGTTGTCTGTTGGCCTTCTGGCTTGGCTGGTAGGTTTGTTTGCTCTTCTGAATGGTTGGTTGGTTTGAGTTGGGGTGGTTGGCATATGGAGAACTTTCCAATAGTGAAGTAGCTTAGTTGTCCTTTTCAAAGAGACTCTCATCTGGAACTGACATATTAATAATGTGATTACATTAACATAACCATGGTAGGTAAGTGCCAGGCACCCTTCATTACTGAAGTTGCTTAATTTGCCACAATGATCTCTTGACATGTAAGAAAGCCTGGTCTGAGTGCTGGTTTTCAGGGGGTGGAAACCCCTCTCGTGTCCCCAGCCACAGGAACTCGTACAAGAAGAGCATCTGCGTGGAAATGCTGCGCGATGGCTACCACAAGTCCTTCACGGAGCTCTTCGCCCTGACGGAGCAGTGGGACGCGTTGCGCCGCGCGGCCGAGGTGCGGTCCCTCTTCTGGCTGCAGAGGCCGCTGGAGGAACAGCCGGACAAGCTGGACAACTTCTACCACTACCTGACCAGGGCCGAGGCTGCTGAGAGGCAAGGTAGGTGCCAGGTTCGGCGGCACGCACCCCAGGGACGACTCCGAACTGTTGCCAGGTGGATTTGGTACATTAAGACAAGTTGCACAACTCAAGCTGATCTCCTGGGCGATTTTAAGGAGTGAATGGCTGGGTGCCAGGCTCTCTAGGCACAAAGACCCCCTGGCGATGTTACTGCAAGCTTGGGAAGACAGAGACTGCCAAACATCTCCAGAGGTCTCCAACAGATTAAAACCTCTCCCGTCATCAAGAACATGTCATAGCCTGATCGTTCTCCGTGTGGTCTGAATTTTGGCTCTCAGCAAGGAGTTTTCAAAGCTCTGTCACTAGAAACTCACGCTGATTTAGCTTGCTTTACCCTTAGCATTTACATAACAAGTTTTGAAAGTTTTGCCATGAGATCCTGTTGGTTTCGATCACAAAAACTGATATTAGTTAAAAGGCATGAAAAGCCTTTAGTTTCTAGGGTGCTGTTCAGCTGCACTCCCTGTACTTGGGTGATGGAGACAGGAGGCTCACTATGAGATGAGTTTAGCCTCAGCTACATCGTGAGACAGTTTCCCAGAAGAAAAGGGAAAATAATCCATAATCCATGATTGTGGTTTCAATCATTAATTTCCTATTTTTAACAAAATAATTTTAGTGTATTCCTTTACCGTATTTTAACATTTCCCGTAAAGCTAGCACTTTATATTTAAAGTGTTAAGCATTTAATACTTTAAAGTATTTAAGAATTAAGTACTTAATCTCTTGCTATAATTTTATGGACTTTGTCATTCAATGTTTTTAACTCTGTGTCACAAATTTGACTTTATCATTTAACATTTTTAGATCTATATTAGGAATTTGTTGTTTTCATTGGAGACGTAAAAGGAAGATTCTAAAATTTGACATTCCAAATTATTTTTTTCCTCAACATTCTCACTGCAAACACGAAAGGACTCATAATGACAAGAAAAGCCAGCGCTGTACGTGATAACGGGATCTTCCACTTGGCCTTTACAGGTCAGCTGGAAGTTCTGTCTGCTGCCCGATAGCTACCGCAGACCGTAAGACAGAAAGCGCGTAGACTTAGCCATCAGGAGCTCAAAGGCATTAGACCGTAAACAGAGAAAATGGGACACCAAAAATTGTACAGTAAGGGGATCCAATAAGAGAAGCTCATCTATATTACGGAAAGTGTTCCAAACTGCAGACTCGACACGAGATAGTCTTTTGATGAACTTTAATACAATTTATAAGAAATTAACTATTATAAATAAACATGCTATGTTACCACAAAACAAACAAAACCCAAGCCCCCCTACTATCAGAACAAAATCCTGGATTGATTTTTGCTCCTGGAATACAATTAGCCAAGATAAAGTCTGCCCATTATTTATTTTATGAAGTTCAGTTGATTCATCAGCTTAGATAGGGGGCTTTCTTTGAGTAGCACAAATGTGAGTCAAGCTCTGCCACGATGTGGCATTAACCCGACAGGTGTCTGTCATGGAGTGTCTGTGGGATGATGAACCAAAAGGTACTAAAGGAAAGTAACGGCATGGGGAGAAAAGTTCTTCTCTAATACAAGAAACAAGTGGCAACATCCCAGCCGTGTGACGACTGAAGTCCCATTCATGTATGTTTGAGAAATAGCGCTGCAGTTATTAAATAGGACAGTTATCTTTGCTCAAAACACCCATAAGGCTATCTCCAATAGGATGGTCTAGCTTTTGCCTTACTGAAATATAGAAATTATTTTTATTATTGCAGAAAGTATCACTTAAGCATTTATATAATCATTGCTTAGAGCTTTGTGTAATTTTTTCACCCTCCATTCATAAAATTTATCAGACAAAAATTGTGATCTGAATAAAAATTGCCCCAGAAAGATGGAATCTGCATGTTTGCTTCTATTAACTTGAATGAATCCTAGCCCTGAAGACACGTGCATGTTTTAGGACGTGTACATGTGCATCTAGAGTGCGAAGACCTGTCGGGGGGATTGCATGTGACACAGAGTGTCCTCTCAGGGTTTCCTGAGATAACGTGTCCCTGAGCAGTCTTATCACCTCCTCAGAAAGACCGTCCATCCTAGGGTTCTAGCGAAGGTCATTTCATCAAAGCCAAGCCAGGGACAATGTCGTGTGTGTCAGCTGTCCCTCGCCTGTGGCAGAAGTGTCATGTGAGCCAGGGACAATGTCGTGTGTGTCAGCTGTCCCTCGCCTGTGGCAGAAGTGTCATGTGAGCCAGGTCAACCTCTGCAGACAGGCACAGCAGTAGCCTTACTTACTTAAATCGCCAAACACCACTTGCTGCTTTATAGCAAAACTGAAAAATCTAGTCATTCCTTTTTGGGTTATCTTCCCTTGGTTAAAGTGCCCGTCTCCGACTCAAATCTCACGTCCTCCCTTTCTGTGTCACCTGTGATGTTCTTCTTAGTGTCCTGAGCCCCACGAAGCTGAGGAAGAAATGGCGATAATGATAACTGCAAACTGAAGATGTAGATAATTCAAAAGTGTCTTACACTTGACTCGTAAATTTTGGTCAAGTAGCTTCTTTGCTTCTTGGCAACATTTGTTTAAAGCACACGAAATCTGTTGAACCCCAGTGGACTCGGACATGATGTAATTTTTATGCAAAGTAGAAAAGGAGGGAAAAAATGTCTGATAAAGGCAGTGTGGGAGACTGCAGGTTAATTAATGCTGAGCATTACTTTGCATCACTTACCAGAGCATCATATATGCTTTTGTGCATTGTATTTTTTCACTAGTAGGGGAAATTAGCAAAAATATTTGTCAAATTTACTGCACCAGAAAATTTCTCTTTAAGGTAGAGACCACAGCATCTGAATAAATAGCAAACCCGTGATGAACTTTCATCTTCTGATGAGGCCTGCTGGTGGTTCGCTTGAGGAGAACAGGCTACTTAGAATGTGACGAATACAGATGCGGCTACAGAAAAACAGTTCAACTGATAGGCTGCCTTCAAATCTTGAATCCTGGGAGCTTGTGTAATTAAGCTTTTTACACTTTAAAAATACTCTGTCCTATTTTAAATTCTATCTTAATTTACTAAAAAGAAGAAAATGTTTACATACACATTAATAAAATAGAAGGTTGGGATATCTTACCACCTGGCAGCTGTAAATAGAAATTCTAACCAGTAAATATGAAACATTTGGTAAAATACAGTTTAATGTCTATTCACACTTGGTGAGAAATGCACATGAGGGAGGTTTCTGGGAAGAAGGTATAGGATTTAGAAGTGTCTTTGAGGTGCCGAGGAAATGACTGCATGGATAATACGTCTGTGCACGCTTAAAGATCTGAGTTAGACCCCAGCACTGAAGGAAAAGCAGTGTGTGTCTCATGTCAATTCGACACACAAACTATCTGAAAGCAGAGAAACTTAATTGAGAAGATGTCTCCTTAAGATCCTCATTAGTGACTGATGAGGGAGAGCCCAGCCCGTGGTGGACGGGGCCATCCTTGGGCAGCTGGTCCTAGGTCTTCACAATCTCAACAATGTTTAAAAGTTCAAAGTCTTTTCTGAGATTCATACAGTCTCTTAACTGTAATGCCCTATAAAATCAACATAAAAAACAGATCACATAATTCCAACATATAATGGCACAGGATATACATTACCAAAAAGTAGGGAAGGGAGTATAATGAGGAAATAACGGACCAAAACAAAATTAAAATCCAGCTGGAGGAATTCTAAAGTAAATCTCATATCTGGTGTCAAACGCTCCATTCACCAGCTTGTTGAGTGCAATACACTTCTTTCTCTTGGGCTAATTCCACCCCCTGTTAGCAGCTCTCCTCGGCGGGTATCCCATGACCCCGGCATCTCTAACATCTTGGGTTCTCCAAAGCAATCCAGGCTTCACCTTCACAGCTTTACACAATGGCCTTTTGGGCCTCCATTCAGGGACACCCCTGACAGATGCCTGGCCTCAGTGGCTTTATTCCTTAACCCCCTTCTTCTATCCTTAACTCTAAAGCCAGAACCACGTGGCTAAAACTGCCAAGGTCTGCAGCTTGCTGGGGCTGGAACCCCTTGCTCAACTACATCTTCACCAGCTTTCAGTCCTTCCCTGCCTAAGCCTGGCTGTCCTGAAACTTTCTCTGTCGACCAGGCTGGCCTCAAACTCAGAGATCTGCCAGCACCTGCCTTCCCAGTGCTAGGATTAAAGGTGTGACCTACCACACCTGGCTCTAAGCTTTTCTGTAGTTTCTGTTCAAATTGGAAAGTTAGGAATAGGTGGGGTCTTGCCCGGAGGTCACCACTCCTTTTATTCTATTGCTTAATCCGTTTATCTCCTTGAACACAGAATTGAGCTGCATTCCATTTCCTGGTGCTGTTTTTCTCCTCAAAATTTTCATTTTGTAATCTACCTGCTCAGCTTGCTCTTTTCATTACAAATCTTTATTAGAGTGGCCACTAATATCTACATGATGGGATCTACACTAGGCTGTTCTGAGTTTCTTTTCTGCCAATTGAATTAACCCAAAACTCTTCACTTTAGCCTCAGGCAGTCTCTTTGGACAAGGGAAAAGGCAGCCATTTTCTGACCAAAATAACACAAAGATGATTTCTAGGCAACATACTAAAATTTTCTCTTCTGAAACCTCTTGAGTGAACCCCCAGAGTTCAGATCACCCTCAGCACCACTGTCTCCCATGCTCCTACTAGCAGGCCCGTTGAACAGTGCTTAAAGCGTTCCACTGCTTTCCTAACCCAAAGTACCAAAGTCCAAACTCCTCCAAAGAAAAACATGGTCTAGCCTATCACAGCAATACCACAGTCCCTGATACAAACTTCTGTCTTAAGATCTCTGTTGCTGTGAAGAGACACCACAACCATGGCAACTCCTGTAATGAAAACATTTAATTAAGGGGGCTCACTTACAGTTTTAGAGGTTCAGTCCATTATCATAACAATGGGGAGCATGGCAGCATGCAGGCAGACGTGGTGCTAGAGAAATACCTGAGAGACGTACATCTTGATGACAA